TTTGGATGCAGCACTGCAGGGGGGGGTCTCACCAGAGCAGAGCAGAGGGGCAGAATCCCCTCCCTTGACCTGCTGGCTACCCTTCTTGTGATGCAGCCCTGGATACGGTTGGCCTTCTGGGCTGTGAGCACACATTATTGGCTCATGTCCAGCTTTTCGTCCACCAGTACCCCCAAGTCCTTCTCCGCAGGGCTGCTCTCAATCCCTTCATCCCCCATTTTCTCTCCTGCTCCAGGGAGAAGGTGGCTCAGTGGGTCCCCCGGGCCCTGCCGGCCCCATGGTAAGTCACAGCTTTTCGGTTCAAACCGCCGCTGAAACGCGGGGGGAGCTGCTGCCGTCTGGCTCGCAGCACAAGAGGGGGCAGACCACCACGGGGCAGGTGGGGGGCGGCCTTTGGGGGGGGGGGAGCCACTGTGTCCTGCCCGGTTTCATCCCTTGTGCTCATTTACACCTGAAAAAGATGCGTCTGCTTAAAATACAGCCTCGTGGTAGTGGGGGGAAAAAATTGCAAAAGGACAAATGGTGTTGAAAACTCATGCACGCCAGTAAAGCCCCCCCAGCATCCCCACTAGCCCGGGGCTGCTTCTGCTGCCATGGGAGATGCCTAGGGGGTCCCCGTCCCATCTCCTCCTGCATCTCTCCTGGTCGCAGGGCTGAGCATGCTCTCGCATTGCAGGGAGAGCCGGGCCAGCCAGTCGGATGCCGAGGCATCAATGGCTCTCAGGTGGGTCTGCCCCAGTTCTCCTCCTTTGCTATTTGGGATTTTTCCGGCCACTGCACTCACCCCGTCCCTTCCGTGCTCTCTCCCCAGGGAGAAATGGGCCCTCCTGGCTTGCCTGGCCCCCGGGGCCCCAAGGTACGTTGGTACATGCCTGCACTGAGGGATGAGCACCTCACGTTGATGGGGTGTCTTGGGACAGCTGGTGGGGATGCCGGGATGGGAGGGTGTCCCAAGGGTCACCCAGCCTGGATGGGTCTCCTCCAGCTAGGCTGTGATCTCAACCCACCCCAAAATCTGCAAAGAGACTGAGACGGGGGTGGGAATCCTTTCT